GTACCTGGTGAGATTCTCTCTCTCACTGATCTTTCTGAGCTGCACAACTGCAGCCTGAATGTGGCGGCCTTCACTGCTTTCTACTTCCTCTCTCTGCAATCAGAAGCGGTTTTTTTTTTTTCTTCCTTGGAGAGTTTTCAAACCACATAACGGATTAAAGCATGCACAAAAATGATGCACAAAGGGAGACAGCGAGCACCTGGGTGTCTCTTGCCTATTGAAAGCAGAGTAGAAAATCTCCTTGCATTATTATTATGATTATCATTATCAAAAGACTTTGTGTGCAACACTAATTGCAGCTCTCTTCACTGAGAAGTCCCGTTTTGTTTACCCAACAATTTATTTTGGAGTTCATAAACAATGGACAAGAGGTGACATGGATTTAACCTCTTGATACTTAATTCCAGCACAAGGCTTCATACCTTCCTGCAAGGAGCTTCCTATATTATTATTATTATTATTATTATTATTATTATTATTATTATTATTATTATTATTATTATTATTATTATTATTATTATTATTAATGTTATTATATATTATTATATATTATATTATTATTATATTATTACTGCTATTATTATCATTATCATTATCACTATTCTCCTGTTATTTCTCAGTGCAGTTGCTGCTGGCTTACCTTACATCTGCAATCAACTAAGTATTTGAGAAGAAGCAAGAACAAGGAGAAGAAAAGTTATACAATAGTCCAATGGTTCTCAACCTTTGGTCCGCAAACCGCTGGGGAGCCGCGATGTCATCACAGGGGGTCCTTGAAGTCTTGATGCAGTCTAGTGCTTTAAATCTTGAGTTAAGTCTTGGTGGGCCATGGCCATGGTCTGTGGCCACAAAAGGTTCGTGGTGAAGAAAAGGTTGAGAACTACTGCAGTAGTTGATTTATCTTGAACTAGCCTCTGGCAAAAGATACAAAGACTGACTAAAACACATCAAGACCGGATAAAACATATGAAGAATGGTTGCTGGAATTGGGTCTGTCTAGTTTAATGAAAAGAAGAACTAGGGTGACATGATAGCAGTGTTCCAATATCTAAGGAGCTGCCACAAAGAAGAAGGGGTCCACCCATCTCCAAAGCAACTGAAGGCAAGACAAGAAACAATGGATGGAAACAAATCAAGGAGAGATCCAACCTAGAATTAAGGGAAAATTTCCTGACAGTTAGAACAATTAACCACAGAATAGCTTGCCTCCAGAAGTTGTAAGTGCTCCAACATTGAAGGTTTTTAAGAAGAGATTGGACAGCCATTTGTCTGAAATGATACAGGGCTTCTTGCCTGAGAACGGGGTTGGACAAGAAGACCTCCAGGTCCTTTCCAATTCTGTTATTCTGCTAAAAGCTGATGGTGTTAAAATAAAGGAAGAGATGGACCCCGGCCCAATACCCCTTCAAACCTGGAACCAATATTGCCTTTGTGGTTAAAGCTAATGCAATCCTGGGTTGTATAAACAGAGGCATAGAATCAAGATCATGCAAAGTATTAGTACCGCTTTATAAAATCCTAGTGAGACCACACATCTGGAATACTGCAACCAATTTTGATCACCATACTACAAAAAAGATGTTGAGACCTTGGAAAAAGTTCAGAGAAGAGCAACTAAAATGATCAAAGACCTAGAGACTAAAACATACAGTATGAAGAATGGCTGCAGGACTTGGGTTTAGCTAGTCTAAAGGAAAGAAGGAACGGGAGACATGATAGCAGTATTCCAGTATCTGAGGGGCTGCCACAAAGAAAAGGGGGTCAAACTATTCTCCAAAACACCAGAGGGCAGGACAAGAAACAATGGTTGGAAACTGACCAAAGAGAGAAGCAACCTAGAACAGTGAGGACAATTTACCAGTAGAACAGCTTGCCTTCAGACATTCTGTGTGTTTCATAACTGGAGATTTTTAAGAAGAGACTAGACAGTCACTTGTCTAATGGGTATAGGTCAGGGTAGGCAACCTTGGCTCTTTTATGACTCGTGGACTTCAACTCCCAGAATTCCTGAGCCAGCCATGCTGAGGGGAAAGGGAGAGGTTTTCAAGCTGAGCCATGCTGGCTCAGGAAGTCCATGAGTCATAAAAGAGCCAAGTCTTCTGCTTAAGCAGGGGGCTGGACTAGAAGACCTTCAAGGTCCCTTCCAGCTCTATTCTATTCTATTCTATTCTATTCTATTCTATTCTATTCTATTCTATTCTATTCTATTCTGTTCTGTTCTGTTCTGTTCTGTTCTATTCTACTCTACTCTACTCTTTTCTACTCTACTGTTCTATAAATAATACATAGAAAATTATTAAAATGCCTGAAAGTTCTATCTAAAAGTAGAAGAGATTACTTCGGTCTTCTAGATTGACTAAATTAGAGCACTATGGAAGTAGCAGCAGCAGCAGAATAAGGAGGAATGTCCTGACATTGAGAGCAATTAATCAATGGAACAGCTTGCCTCCTGGAGTTGTAGTTGCTTGATCACTGGAGGTTTTCAATAAAAGATTTGGCAGCCATTTGTCTGGGATGGTATAAGTCCCCTGCCTTGGGCAAAGGGTTGGACCAGGAGACCTACAAAGTGCCTTCTAGCCCTATGATTTTATGATTCTAAGAAAGCAGCTTGAGATTGCCGAGGCTTCATTGTGATGCCTTCTTCCTTTTTCAACTGAAGAGTTAGCTCACTAGCAGTAAGCAAAGAAGCAGAGAAAGGGAAGGCAGTTCATTTCAGTCCTTCTGTTTGTTTACGTCCTGCTACTTTCAAGAGCTGGACATTTGACACCCCCTTCCTCTATTTTGCAGTCTCAAAGATTTATCAGGCTGCCAAGGCCGGTCAGGCTCCCGTGTTCAGCTCTGCAGGCCTCAGGTTTTGCAGGGCCAGATTAAAGAGTTAATAAGTTAGCTGCAAACCCAGCCTCTCCCACAGAGCACCCACCCACCCATGGAATCTGGACAACCTGGTGTCATATTTCTTACACCTTGATGGTCAGATGCCAGAGAGGAGGAGGAAGGAAGGAAAAAGCCAATTCCAAAATAATCCTTAAACCCACTTGCAGAAGGAAGTACACACTGGAGTTGTTATTACTTGGGGGAAGGCACTGTCTGTGATACCCGGAACTCTTCGTCATGGCTTCGGCCAGAGCGGCAACTAATGGCTGATGCCAGGCTCCAACAATGCCAGAGGGGAAGGAAAGGAATCCCATTGGCCAGGAGCCATCATGTTCAGCACACCCGCCAATTGTCTGTTAAGAGGCCAGGCAGAGGGAGGGTAAGGAGGAAAGACCGAGGTTAGCTTTGGCCTCTGAACTTGCTCCCTGTCAAGGCTGTGAGTGTGTGCATGTGCGCCCCTGCGCTTTGTTGTTGTTGTTCCAGAGGCATGCAAAAGTAATTGTAAAAACCGCCAAGTTTCCCCTGGGGGGGGGGGGGCTGGGAAAGAGCCAGGAAGAATCCTGGCAGGATTGATACCAGAGAAGCCAAATAGACCTCAGCTTGGAGCCAAGATACAGAGGACAGCATCAGAGATGAAAAGGGACTGTAATTTGGGAGTGAACCATAGTGAAAGGTCAGGAAATGACCCCCAAAACGGCAGTGCAACACGGAAGGCATGAAAGTGGTTTCCAGAGGACATTTTTATCCATCTTCCAACTTCTACAAATAAGAGTTCTGGATTGCACTAACATGTAAATCTGAGCCATCCAACTTCCTGTTTTGTTTTTAGAGGTTTTTAGTAGGCTCAATCAGCAGCCACCGAACATTACAACGAGAAAAAGATCCTTAGGCTCAAAAGCAGTCTATTTCCAAGTTCTAGGTCTAGGACAGGGGGTAGGCAACTTTGGCTCTTTTATGACTCGTGGACTTCAACTCCCAGAATTCCTGAGCCAGCATGGCTGGCTCAGGAATTCTGGGAGTTGAAGTCCACGAGTCATAAAAGAGCCAAGGTTGCCTACCCATCCTGTTTTGGTGTAAAATCTGACAGTATTTTCTCCAACCCCACCTGGAGGACCACATGTTGGGGTACATACAGTCTTGTGAGATTGAGAAAAAGAATATTTCTCAAGTCTACCTGAATAAGGCAAGGATTATACATGTACGGTATCTCTGATTAGTGAATCTTGGGACTCAAGCAAGTGGGGGGACATTATGTGCGAACTCTGTCCCTCGCAAGGTTTCAAAGAGGCATCTGGCTGGCGATAGGGGAAATGGGGTGTTGCACTAGATAGGCATTTAACAATGTTCATATATTAAACACCAGTTCTTAAAAAGAACTTTTAGATCTGTGTTTTTCCACCTCAGCAACTTTTAAGATATGTGGACATCAACTCCCAGAATTCCCTAGCGAGCCATCTTTCTCTCCTATTTTTCTCTTATATCCTTTTTCTCTGTATTGTCTTTTATTTTTCTGTAGCTTTTAACTATAATTGTTCTGTAGCTTTTAACTATAACCTCTATATTCAATTGGACATTTTTACCTCTAAGGAATAGTTACTGGGGCCAAGAATAGCAATAATAATAGCATTTAGGCTTATATACACCCCATATTGCTTTACAGCAGGGGCCCCCAACCCCATAGCACACAAGAAACCGGGCTGCGCAAACAAGCAAAGCCCCATCCACACGATGCAGGCAGTATACAAAACCACACCCCCTCCAGTCCACAGAAAAACCTCTCTCCAGGGAAACAGTCCCTGGTGCCCAAAAGATTGGGGGGCCACTGCTTTGCAGCACTCTCTGGGTGGTTTACAATGGAGAAGCATTATTGCATACTACCTGCGCCAATCTGGCTCCTCATTTTATCAATCTCAGAAGGACGGAAAGCTAAACAAACTTTATGCTTAGGTTCATCAGAACTGAACTCCAGGCTGTGGGCAGAATTTGCCTGCGGTACTGCACTTTAACCACTGGGCCACCAGGGCTCCTCACTAGGAAGGTGTTACCTTTGGTTCTTGTGTGGCAAGTTTGACTGTGCCTCTTCTTCCCAGCAAGTAAATTATTGTAGGTAGGTACTTCATACTCACCTGTGCCTGATAGATGCTGCCAGGATCCCGTGGTCCTAATCCCACGAAGCGGTTCGCAGGGGGTGTGCCTGGGGTGGAGTAGGCTGGGGAAAAAGGGAGGAGGGAAAGAAGAAGGTAAAGAAAAGAAAAAGAGAGAGAAAGAGGACAAGAGAATATTTTTTTAAAAAAAAAATCAATCCACTGTTCCGATCAACAGTTCTCATTTCGTGATGGGAATGATTCTCTGCCCCACACCCCAAAGATCCTCAGTCCTTCTTTCCTTTGCAAATTACAGGTATTCTTCAACTTACGACCAGTTGTTTAACAGCAAAAAATGCCCATTCGGGAGAGTGGACTTGGACTTATGACCATGAGATTTGTTTAATAGCCAGATACATTTATGCTGTGTCTCGACTTAGGATCACAACTAGATATGACCAGAATTCCAGTCTCAACTGTGGTTGTAAGTCAAGGACTACCTGTATCTTTCTTCTCAGCGTTTGCTTATTCTGAATGTAGAGCCTTCCGTGCAAAATATCCATCAGCAGGAAGACCACAGCAACACATCATGGCTACTTTACAAAAGTCAAGATAATTTTGTATATAAATTTAGATGCAACAAGTTCCTTAAGTAGGTGCATGACATTTTGGGGAGCAGCAAAGGATGGGGGTGCACACATTTTGTATCTATGCTTTAAATTATGGGATCATTTAAGATAGGGGTCTTCAAACATGGCCTTTTTATGACTTGTGGACTTCAACTCCCAGAATTCCTCAGCCAGGCATGCTGGCTGAGGAATTCTGGGAGTTGAAGTCCACAAGTCATAAAAGGGCCACGTTTGAAGACCCCTGATTTAAGACCTCTCCCAGGGCTTCAGCTAAGACTGGCTACAGAGCAAACTGGAGAATGGTCAATATCAAGAGATGCTCTAGCTGCATCTTACACTGTATATTCTGTAAGGAGTAGCAGGTTGAATTAGATGCCTTCCAAGGTTTTAACTGTACAGATATATTCCCTTACATTAGAAAAATACAAGGCTGTTTCATACTATGTCAGATCATTCACACATTTAACCCAATAGCACCAGCACTGAATTGTTAACTTCGGGAAGAATATTTTTCAGCTCTCTTGGATACACCAGGAATTGTTCCTGAGACCTTCTATCTCCCCAAATCATGTTCTCCTACTGATCTATGGCCATGGCTGATTCCTACAGAACTTGAGAAGCTTCTCAAAAACCAATCCTAAGCAACCGATGCAAGTCACAGAAATTGCAGAAGTCTAGAACTGTGCAGCTTGCAGTTTAAGTACAGATAGTCCTCGACTTACAACAGTTCATTTAGTGATTGTTCAAAGTTACAAGAGCACTGGGGAAAGGACTTGTGACCTGTTTTTTCACGCTTACGAGGGGGGCAACATCCCCCACGGTCACATGATTAAAATTCAGACACCTGACAACTGACTCATGTTTGTGACAATTGCAGGATCCCAGGATCATGTGATCACCTTTTGCAACCTTCTGACAAGCAAAGTCAGTGGAGAGGCCAGTTTCATTTAACAACTGTATTAGTAACACTGCAACCGTGTTACTAACTGCAGTGATGTACTTCACAACTGTAGCAAGAAAGTTCACAAAATGGGGAAAACTCATTTAACAACTGTCCCGCTTAGCAACAGAAATTTTGGGCTCCGTTGTGGTCATAAGTCAAGGACCACCTGTACAATTGGAAGCAAAGTCCAAGGCCTGTTCAGCAGCAGCAACTCCACTTAAAAGTATTCAAGCTTACAGTGCTGGAAGAAAACAATTCTGCCACCTCCAAGGTCATAAATACTGACCCTGCCCAGCCCCCATGTGATTACAGGAACTTTGAATCTTCCCAGGGAATCTATTTCCAATGCTGAGTTAAAAGAAATAGATCGATACACCTTTGCTTTGTTTCTTGCATACAGAAGAGCCCGATGTTATACAGCAGTGGAAGAATAAATTTACACCTTATTTGCTGCAGCAGACACCCAATATATATTGTTTGTCAACATCTGGCTCAGGTTTCTTTTGACAGAGAGGTTAAGAAAGAAGATATTCAAGTGAGGCAATCAAGTTTTCTGGATATGTTTTGCCTATGATGCAAGCTTACTTGGATTTTTCTCCCCGTTTTCTTTAGTTTTGCAACATATATGATTTATATGATTGACTAATTTACTAATCTAGAATCAAGAGCTTGTCCACAGTTGTATAACACTGAAATATTATATATTATTGTATGTGTATGTGCACACAGACATGCATGTTGTATACATAAACATACATATATGTATGCATATATGCACCGCTAATCATCACTAACATTATTTTTGTTTAATTAAGCACACATAAATATTATTCCTGTATGCTGTGTTCTTTATATAAATGCTTTCTTTCAGTAGACTTGAAAATGCTTATTTGCAAAGTGGCATGTTCCTAGGTACGCTAGAGGCAGCTATTGGAAACATTATTCCAGAGGATATAGGCCAGAAGTGTCAAAATGCCGGCCCGCGGGCTGGATGTGTCATGGCGAAACAGCGCCCATCCCATTGCTGGCAATGGCAAAAAAGTCACAATACATTGCGATACATCACGTGACGTTGCGAGTTTGACACCCCTGATATAGGCCATGTCCCCGTGGATACCTAATCATAGCACATACATGCTGTGGGACCTCTTTTTTTTTTTTTTAGCATTCCACTGAGATTGCCCTTATCTCATTCCCCAGACCATATAGGAGATAGGATTATTGGAGAATGCACACATAGCTCACACAGCCTGTGTCTGTCTTCAACAATGAAGGGACACAGGACAGAAAAACATCCTGCAGCCATGAAGGCTCTACACACATTTGCCCTACTCAGGTGACCCCAAGGACATAGGTAAGCCTCCAACTGGCCTCAATGACTCTCTAAAACAGGGGTGTCAGACTCGCAATGTCATGCGACGTGTTGCAACAGCAACGTATGGCGACTTTTCCCCCATTGCCAGCAATGGGGTGGGCGTGGTTTCGTTGTGACAGCATCCAGACTGCAGACCGGCAGTTTGACACCCCTGCTCTAAAAGAATGCAAATGACCAGTTGTCTGCAAGGAATACAAATCCTTCCATTCCTCACCATCCAGTCAGAGCTGAAGAAGCTTCTTGTATGAGAAGCGAAACATCTTCAAAGGAAGAACAAGAAAGTCCAATTGCCTCTTGAAAAAAGCACTTTTAGGACAACCATGACCTGGATGACTGGGAACCTCCAAAGTGCTCTCTGAGTTTGGCTCTTTGCTGTCAGACATTTCATTACCAGACTAAAGAACATCATCAGTGCTGATGAGTGTTCTGTTTGCTTTCTGCTTATATAGAGTAGCTTGTCCTGACAATGTTGGTGGGGGTGTTGTTTTTTTTCCATGGGTAGTTCCTTGAACAGTGAAGCAAAAAACAATACCTTAATCAAGGAACTGCGAAAGAGAAAACCACAGCCCCCTACCAACCCTGGCAGGGCAACCTACTGTATATAAGCAAGAAGCAAACACAACACTCACCAGCAGTGATAATGTTACCTAGACTGGTAATGAAAAGTCTGCCAGCAACAACCAAGCTCAGAGAGCACCAAGGACTCTACAGAGAGAATTAAGATGTCCTTCATTACATCAGTGATAAAGTGGCATTTCCCCTCTTATTTCAACACCATTTAAGGACACTTAAAAGTGTGCAAAACCTGTTTGATTTCCTCACTTTGGCTGGAAGTCAAGGGACTGGCAGGAATAGTGACTGAGAATGGAAGTAATCAAGACAACAAAAGGAACTGCAATCGGGATAGCCAGTTTCAGCTGGCTTCATTTTCTGCTAAGTCAAGGATGGGTAGATAGCACTATAACTCAGAGGAAGCACTATGGGGAAAAACCTGTAAAAACTGAGTTTTTTTAGAGCATTACTATATCTTTCTGATAAATTGTGCTGGAATTAAAGTGGCTCCCTCCCCACAAACCTCATAAATTATTTTCCACTCTCTATGTACTGTATAATGATAAGCAAACATATATATATATACATGCACACACTTAGCAAATAAGCATAACCACAACACTTACATGACTTGCTCAAGGTCAGTGAGAAAGGAGAAGTTAACTCAGGTCTCTCTTGTTACCCATGTAAGTTCAGTATGTCGGAATGTTCAGAGCAGTGTTTCCCAACTTTGGCAGCTTCAAGATGTGTGGACTTCAACTCTCAGAATTCTGGGAATTGAAGTCCACAAGTCTTAAAATTGCCAAGGTTGAGAAATACTGGGTGAGAGCACACCACATGTGATAGAGGAGGAAAAGGGGGTTGGCATCAAAAATGGGTAACTTTGGAAAGCTACTAGGGAGATGGAGGAGGAGGAGGAGGAGGAGGAGGAGGAGGAGGAGGAGGAGGAGGAGGGAGGAGGAGGAGGAGGAGGAGGAGGAGGAGGAGAAGAAGAAGAAGCAAAGAAGAAGAAGAAGAAGAAGAAGAAGAAGAAGAAGAAGAAGAAGAAGAAGAAGAAGAAGAAGAAGAAGAAGAAGAAGAAGAAGAATTTGTGAAAGACTGCTAAATATCAGTAAACTGGATGAGCAGAAGAAGCTACATCAAAGCTGATGATATAAGCTCCCAGGAAGACCCCCAACTCTTATTAGAAGAACAATAAGTTTTGCTAAGGCACTCCCCCTCTCCACAACTATTAGAGCACAATAGAGGTATTTGCAAGACTTTTCTCAGCAAACTGCAAAAGGCAAAATAAATTACACCAAATACACAGCCCTTAAGAGTGACATTTGGCTTCTTCCCTGCAATTAAAGAACAATGAGCCAAGACACATGACCAGTTAAGTTACAATCTATTAAGCCTCTAAACAAACGTTTACGCCACTCCCCAGTTTCCAAACAGAGTATTATTGTTTTTTAGATCTTTAGGAATATTGTCTGGAAAGGAGAAAATGACACGCTATGGATTTTATTAGTTTGCCTGATAGATTGGGAAAGTGCTAGGAATTGAATTAGGGAGGGTAGTTCCATGTTTCAGTTTACATATTTTTTTCCCCAATCAGCAATATTAAGAAAACTGCTTTGATATGACATCTGACTGAACTGCCAACTAGATGTAGAAGTCAACAGCCATACACTCACCACAGTCAAGCCTATAAGCTTCCATTAAACCCAGTAAGATGCCTAGGTAAAGAACTGGTGAAGCACGAAGGAAAACAATAATATTTTATCAATACTAGAAAAACACGGTTTTTTTCAAGGTAAGGAAAATAAATATCCATGTTGTTTGATGGAATGATTAAATAGAGAGAATTTGCATAATCAAAGTCATTATAAAGATGAAGAAAGAACAAGGCTTCCTTTTACGATAATTATTATTATTTTGGAGTGGGCTTTTCTAGCATCAATATTTAGATCACAGACAAGCAAATTTTCAGAAGGTAAGGAAAACATGTGCCCCTTTTATACAGGATGGGAAATGAAAGATGATATTGTATGGGAAAGCAGCAACAGACAGGCAGAGAACAAAATCCTAACACAAAATCTTTTTAAAACCTGGTTTTCAAAATGGTCCCCAAATTATAAGCAGCATTCTACTTTAGGAAAATCTTGGGAAAACATTATGTCCAATCATAAGATGCTAGGAATATGCAGCTCTTCAAATTCATTTCCTAAGAGTGGCATTAGAGTCCAGAGTGGCAAGAACGGAGTCTTTCTTTAAGGCAGGGGTTCTCAACCTGTGGGTCGGGACCCCATTTGGGGTCGAACGACCATTTCACGGGGGTTGCCAAACAAGGCTATCCGCTATTTTTTTCCCTTTTCTTTGCCACGCCCCTGGCACCCAGTGATGTATAAGTGGTTGGGGGTCACTACAACATGGGGAACTGTATTATGGGGTCGCGGCATTAGAAAGGTTGAGAACCACTGCTTTAAGGGATTAAAGCAGCTATGTCTTTTCCTGGGAAAAGACTATGTATGTTCCTAGGAAAAGATACAGCTGCTTTAAGAATTCAAAATGAAATGCTGGAGCTATGTTAGTGCCCCTATATGCTTTGAAGGACCTTTTTGAAACCGAAACAGAAGTCCTGTACAGTCCTTTAATGTACCATTTGTACATTACAACAATGTAAGCGGAAATAGGGTCCAGGGCAATATTTTTCAAACTTGGCAAGTTTTAACTGGCTGGTGAAGTTTATGCTGGCTGAGGAATTCTGGGAGTTGGATCTACACATCTTAAAATGGCCAAGTTTTAAAACACTGCTCTGAAATCTGTGCAACACCACACAAAGTTGCATGGAGGCTGTTTCTCACAGACCTCAAATTTAGAAGGCCAGCCGGAGGGCATGGCTGATAAACGTTTATGATAAACCACCTTTTGCTTCTGAAAAGTTTGGGATACCCTATACTTTTCAAGAAACTGATCTTATTTGGTGTCCTTAAACATGGAAAGAGAGAGCCAAATGGAACAACTTCATTCCACTACAATTCCTCTCTTAAATTCGAGCTTCGCTTTGTACGACAGGCATGCAAGGTAGACGACTAGAGGCCTTGGATGATATTCTGGGAAGCTACGAAGGCTATCTTTACCTGCAACCTGGCATGTTTTATGGCAGCATGGATGTTTGCGTGGGTTAGCATGCATGTTTACTTGGGTTTTTTTTTAAAAAAAAAATCACTGATTTAAATCAGTGGCCATTTCTGATCATTCAAATGAGCACTTTGAACTTCTGTTTAAATCCATGCATCCTGCTGCCATCTCATCTCAAAATCCTCTCCCCCAGAGTGGCCATCCCCCACCTTTATCCCCCAAAATCACAAGGCTGCAGAGCAGTCTGAATTGGTGAATATGGCCAGAGGGTAGGGAAGAATTAGTGACAGATGGCAGGTAGGTGGACAAGGCCATTTGGGAGTGGGTAGGTGCAGGAATGGTGAGTGGGCTTGCTTACTGGGAGACGTCGGCGAGGTGGTCCCTCCCTCGGAAGTTGTCGTGGTAGATTTGGTGTCAGGTGAGATTGCCAGGCGGGGCATACCTGGGGGTGGCGGCGCCAACATCTGGGTAGAAAGGTAATGCCCGGGTACCTTCACTTGACCACCTCCATTTAACTAGGGACACAACATAAAAAAAAAACACAGAGCAAGCCATTAGCACTGCCCACAGGAGTCACCTGCCCGCCCAGGGGGACCTCCCCCCTTAAAACGGGGACAGTGGGCAGGCTTCACTGGGGACCCTGGGAGTCTTGGCCAGCTCACCTGACTGCAAATATGGAAAATCTATTCAATGTCATGGCTAAGAGTAAAAGGCAGTGCCCTCCATGTATAAAAACTCTTCACAATCCTACCTACATGTCTAGCTCGGGGGTGGGAAAAGATGGCCCCTTTCCGACCTGTGGACTTCGACTCCCAAAATTCCTGAGCCAGACTGCCTTAGGAATTATGGGAGCTAAAGTCCACATGTCTAAAGGGGCCAACATTCCCCACCCCTGCTCATGTGGCGACACTGGTTTCTAATAAATCTTTCAGGCTGCTTACTGTGATACTCTGCTAACAAGCTGCTTTTTCTGTGCTCTTTATTACTCTTTAGCATTGCAAATGTAGGTTTATATTTTGCGATTTTTGTGCAGATTGCCAAAAATGAATTTATAGCCACAGCCACACGAATAACCCAATATGCTTGGGTGCAGTCATAAAATATCACAAACAAGCAACGGTGCTATTATGCTATGTGCTGTGGCATCAAAATTCTTTTTCTCCTGATTTTTATGTATGTACCTGAATGTTGTATATACTGTGTTCCTGCGAAAATAAGACCAGGTCTTATATTAATTTTTGCTTCAAAAGACGTATTAGGGCTTATTTTCCAGTTAAGTCTTATTTTCAGGGAAATACAGTACTAAATGCATCCATCTAGCTGATGATCTTAACTGGAGCTTATTTTGGGGGTAGGGCTTGTATTATGAGCATCCTGAAAAATCATGCCAGGGCTTTTTTCCAGTTAGGTCTTATTATTTGGGGGAAAGGGTATGTTCCTGGATGTTATCAAAACATTATGGTACACAAAAAGAATCTTGGTACAAACATACATGATCACATACTGCTCTCCTGTGGCATTTTACAATGCCAAAAAGGGGAAAAAATAGAGAAAGATACTGAACACTGTTGTTATCTATGGACTGAATAACATTTGAAAGGAAAAAAAGAAAAGAAAGAATGGCAAAAATGTTAATATATCAACACTTCGTAAATAAGTCCAGATAATTCAGAACTCAAAAATTGGGAGGAAATCCAGATAAATACATTTGAAAAGCATTCTTAGTGCTCCCACTAGAGCAGTGGTTCTCAACCTTTTTAATGCCACAACTCCCAACCGGTCGTAAGTCGAGGACTACTCAACTGGTCGTAAGTTGAGGACTACTCAACTGGTGCAGCACCGTTTGCGGAATGGGACTTTTGGCGGACTCAGCAGGGCAGAGACAGCCTGGACAATTCCTTTTGGCTTTTGAAAGCCAATAGAATTAGACTCTGTTCAAGAGAGTCTATTCTATTGGCTTTCAAAAGCCAATAGAATAAAAGGGAGTAGCACAGCTAAGGAAAAGGGGGAAAAAAATGGCGGACTGCGTTGTTTGGCAACCCCCGTGAAATGGTCGTTCGACCCCAAATGGGGTCCCAACCCACAGGTTGAGAACCACTGCACTAGAGTTAGTACAATATTGCCTATATCAGTTGTTCTCAATCTGTGGTCTAGGGCAGAAGTCCCCAAGCTTTTGGGCACCAGGGACCAGTTCTGTAGAGAGAGGTTTTTCCGCAGACCGGATGAGGTGTGGTTTTGTGTGCTGCCTGCATCCCGCGGATGGGGCTTTACTTGTTTGTGCGGACCGGTTGCTGGCATGTCACGGCCCGGTACTGGTCCACAGTCCAAGGGTTGGGGACCCTTGGTCTACAGATCTTGGGGGGGGGGGAAGGGCACGATGTTGCCACAGGGAGTCCATGAAGGCTTGAAGAAATGTTATGATTTAAATCTTGAGTTAAGTCTTGGGGGTCCGTAGCCACAAAAAGAATTTAAAGGGGGTCCATGGTGAAGAAAAGGTTGAGAACCACTGGCCTATGTAATATCATTTTCAGTTCTATCTCCAGCCTAGGTTTTCAACAGCAAAAAGGATTGATTGCACCAAGGAAGCAATCACAGATATTCAGAAGCAATACTAGCTTCCAATTTTTCTGTATGCTCCTATATGTATGCAAGAAAGAGAAACAGAATGCAATATTTCCTTCTATTGCTGACCAGCTGTCCTGCATGTAACTAATACATTAACTGCCCTTGAATGGTACCATCTACCTGGATGGACACCTAGCAGAAATAAAGGAGAAGAGAAACAATCTGGACCTCCAATAGCAGACATTTGTGTACATATGTGTACACTACGGCCTAGATGCAGCTTTGTTTAGGAGAGCAGAGAGAATATTTACTATTCAAACTCTCTCTCTGTGGTTCTACACCACTTTCTGGTCTGACAATTTAAATTACTGTTTTGTGATCTTATTTAACCTGATAGCTCTTTCAGAGGGGGAGTTGGCATCTTCACCACATACAGGTAGTCCTCGACTTATGACCACAGCTGAGCCCCAAATTTCTGTTGCTAAGTGAGACATTTGTTAATCCCATTTTACAACCTCTCCTGCCACATTTGTTAGGTGAATCACTGCAGTTGTTAAGTTAGTAACACGGTTATTAGGTAAATCTGGTTTCTCCATTGACTTTGCTTATCAGAAGGTTGCAAAAGCTGATCACATGACCCTGGGGCACTGTGACCATCATAAATATGAGTCAGTTGCCAAGCCTCTGATCACGTGACCATGGGGATGCTGCAATGGTTGTTAAGTGTGAAAATTGGTAATAAGTCACTCTTTTTTAGTGCTGTTGTAATTTTGAACAGTCACTAAATGAATGTTGTAAGTCGAGGACTACCTGTACAGTAGTTGAGTAGGTGAGGATCTCAAGAGTTTTGTCAAAACTTTTCTTTGATCCCATTCTAAGAATCCTCTAGGCCCCAGACTGGGGGAGGGGGAGAGCAACACAGTCTTGCACAAGTTCTCCGCACAAAGACTAGTGTGAAATCATTATTTCTCCATTAGCATCCGCCCCAGCTGTGAAAACAGGATGCAAATACAGGCTTCTCAATCTCACTTTATCTACTCCAAGAAGGATTATACCGTATCTTATTTCAAGATGTACAATGTGACTGTAAACTACATTTTCCCCTCACTAAACCCTTTGCATACCTTTGGTACAAATGGCATTGGGCTTTGTGAACTTGCCCAAGGCATGCTATGCAAATTACAGATAATTACCATCAGTGTTTTGAAGATCCAAGGATTTAATCCTCCTCAAGCACACACATTGTTTTGTGTCCTGTTCAAAACCCACATACGTGCAGGTGGCACTTAACAGTTTAAAAAAATCCTCCAATCCTGATGACTGCAGTGATGTGTCCTTGAAGGGTTTTTTTCCCCCTTGGTGACAATACGTTTTTTCTTCATGATGGGCTTGGGTAATTTTTTTTTACTTCACAGTCTAACTTATAGCCTTGGTCTCTGATAACTGCAGTATTATTTGTTTATTTGTTCATTACATTTCTATGCTGTCCATCTCACCGATAACAGCAACTCTGGGCAGCTTACAATATAATAAAAAGTTATAAAAATACTGGAAAACAATTAAAATTAGGAAAATTGAATAGAAAATTTAAAAGCTAAAAACCAAGACGATGGGCAGCTTAGAAGTGGGGATCTTCTCTACCTGGTCATCTACCCCCAAGGTAGCAGGCCCCTATTGAGGCCCCAGGCCAAATGGCAGAGCCATGTTTTTAAGTTCTTCTGGAAAGCCAGGAATGGGGGGGGGGCAAACCTCACCTCCAAAGGTGGAGGCCACAGCAGAAAAGGCTCTCCTCCTGGACCGCACTAGCTGAAATTCTTTGGCCAACAGGATCCGAAGTAGGCCCTTTCTGCTGAAACGAGTGGGGCAGGCTAGTAATAGTAGTAGTAGTAGTAGTAGCAGCAGCAGCAGTACTACTAGTAGTATACTAACAGATCTGACTCTCCTTCCCTCTGTTCAGCCCAGGCCAGATAGTAATGCTGCCAACTAAGGCTTAGCTGTTTCAGGAATGATATTTCAAGAACAGAAGGACAAATCACAGCCCCAATAACCATCCCCCTCCCCAATGCCAAGTGTCATCATTTTTAATTCATTAAGAATAATAGCTTAGAACAAAGCTATGTCGTTTTTAAATAGTTCAGGGCATTATTTGAAAGTAAAAATAACTGCTGCCAGGCCCAAACACAAGACAAAGCAAAGCAAAACATACGTGCAATGGTGAGTATTTCAATCAAGTATGGAAGTGGAACTGTGGGTCCAAGACTGAGACGGTACAATGTGGCTTAAACTTGCATTTTTTCAAATTTGGCAATGAGTGGCTTTGTGCTCCCAGAATTCACGATGGCTGGTAAATTCTGGGAGCTGAAGTCCACTCATCTTAAAAGTTGTCAAGTTTGAAAAAACCACTGGCTTAAACTTTGTTGCTTGGGGATTCTGGAGAACATTAGGTTGAAGAAATCTGGCTTTAAGTATATCATTTAGAAAACATGTAAGTATTTTTGTCTAGGTCTTGTGATAACCGAACAAAAACACCGAAGAGCTTGGGGGCCTCATGGTTGCACCGGTATTTCAAATAACTGCCATGGTGTTTCTCCTTGGGCTCAGAGAGTCATGAACTAGACTGAACTGAGGCGTTGGGGACTTTCCACACCACAAGACAAAAGGCGACAGAAGTTATAACCTTGGCAGTTCCTTACCGGTCCCGGTTGTTGATTGGATGGGTCACAAGCCAATGAGACGAGGTCTTTCAGAGGGTCCTGTGGATTCAGATGAGGCGGGTACCTTATGGCTGTGTGCGGGAAGTAGGTGGAGGCCCCCTGGGGCAGGATCGAGGTGGTGGGAAAGTGCAGCGCAGAGGAGGGGTGGGGACTTCGAGAGATACCTGCAGAGGGTGAGAGAGAGAGAGGGGGAAACTGGGCGGCCTTCATCAAAAGCACACACCCAGACCCTCTTGCTCCCGGGCACCTCTGCAGAAACGATTAGAAGGGCCTTCCTCCGTCTTCCTCCTCCTCCTTTCACCTCTCCAGCTTCCCTGGGCAAGTCAGCAAATCCTACAGGAATCTCTCACTCCCGTTCATCTTTAGATCATGTACTGCAGGGGTGTCAAACTCAATTTCACTGAGGGCCACATAAGCATTGCGGTTGCCCTTAGGGGGGGCGGGATGTGTAGCTTACTGGGTGGGCGTGGCCAGCTCTACATCGTTCGTGTCAAGGGGGTCTGTGGGAGCCTGGGCAGGAGTGGGACAGATCTGAGGGTCTCTGGCAGAAGGGGGTGGGACCAGGGCAAGTGCCAAGGCATGGTCCACGAAGAAGCTTCACTGTTCCTCTCAGGCCATGCGGGGGGGGGGGCACTGGATGGTGGTGCCACCACAAAATTGTACATTAGCTCCCGGCCGGCCTGGGCCAGGGCCAAGGCAGCGGAGGCCGTTCCCTCACTGTTTCCAGAATGGCTTTGCGGGCCACATGAAACCACTTTGCGGGCCACATTCGGCCCCGGGCCTTGTGTTTGACATGCCTGATGTACTGGATGTAAGGGGCCTATGTACCACCAACACTAACCTCCGGGAGGCAACATCTGGCCTTTGGCCACACAGCCAAAACTTGTTCTCTGATCCCACAAAATTTCACTGCTAGCTTCAGAAAGGCAGTGGCACCTCCCCTGACCTACCCCACGAGCACGAAGACCCCAACGTTCCTAGAATTCTGTTAAACCTTTACAAGTGTGCTTCTGCTGGCCTAAATTTTTAAAACCTAATCTTTTTTTTCTTTTTTCTTTGCTTTTTATAAATAAATCACATGCAACTTTTACTGGGAAATTTTTGAGAGCATTTGAGTTGCCTGATAACACTTAACTATTTGTTTCCTTAACTTCCACAATTAATCGTATTCTGAAGAATTTTGGGAAAAAAAATAGTCAGAATGATCTGTAAAAAACAATTCTACTCTCTCCTTTGCCAGAAAGCTTCCTTCCCTGCTTACTTGGTGCCCTACAGATTACTGTGTTGATGGGAACTTTAGTCCAACATATCTGGAGGGCACCAAGCTAAGGAAGGCTGCCATTAATTTGGGCAATTCAACTCAGTTCTATAATAAAAAAAGTATCCACTTGGTCTGCAGACACAGTTAAATTCAAAAGATGCTAAACAAATGTAATATTTTAGAGGGAAAAGAAAAAAATTGGATGTAACGCAGAATCATATAACTATAGAATTGGACGGGACCTTAGAGGTCTCCTAGTCAGCACCCTGCCTCAAGTAATGAAACTACCAGAATTCACTCATTTCTGCAATAGAAATCCCATTTTCTTTTCATTTTGATAGCTAAAATGTTAGGTGTGTGTATAAGTAGTCCTCAATTTATGACTCTTCATTAAATGAGGCTTGAAGTTATGGAAGCCTTGAAAAAGTGACCTGTTCTCAACGTTATCCCTGTCACATTATCCAGAAGGTCATTTGAACACAATTTGGGCCCTTGGCAACTGTTTTATAGTTATGACAGTTGCATTGTCTTGGGGGGGTCACATGATTGCGATTTTCAACTCTCCCAACCAGCTTTCAACAAATAAAGTTACTTGGGGAAGCCAGATTCACTTAACACCCATGTCACTCACTTAATCACCATATGACTTGCTTAACAACTAGGGTAAAAATTATTGTAAATAATCGGGTCCAGTCATGCGAGGAGTCGCCTCGTGACTACATCACTTATCAACCAAAATTCTCTTCCCAATTGTGGTCATAAGTTGAAGACTACCTGTATAAGCAGGGGAGGAATAGTTTAGCTAGCAGTCTTGCCCTCTTACTATAGTTCATAAAGGCAAATTTCTATTTATTTGAATTATTGCATGGATAAAGTCATATATTATGTGTACCTTCATCACTGCCTTGAGGTTTCATTTTCATTTCTTTGTTTTGTTTTTTAAGTGCAAATAATTCTGGAAATTGAGAAAAGGGTAGTTCCCTGGAGACATAACAAGCACCTTCCAGCTAGGGCTGTGTGCACAGCTGGATTCTGTTACAGAGTTCCGGGATAATTTCTTCCCAGAGTTAGACCTCTGAGAGGAATAGCTACATTTTTGCTGATTGCAGCAAGGAGGCTTCCAAAGCAATCTTTTCCTCTAATAAAGTTATATTTATCTTAACTCAGGCAGTTTCCTTTGATGGGGGCTGACCTATGCTAGCATTAGCTGCTGAATCTAGTATATTTTTGAACTCTTCCAGAAATATCGAATCTTCCATCCCATCTCCTAAAAGCATTCTGGCAATTGTTGCTTGGGAAGATTAATAGCAACTCTCCCTCGGAGAACTTCTGACAAAGCAGCTTCTTCTTGTCTCTTCCCACATGTTGCTGAACTGCCATTCTTAGGAAGAAGGAATGACTATGAAAAAGAATAAGCAAGCAACCTTTTTATAATTAGATCCTTGAGACTTATGCCTACCCACAGGCTGTTCTAAAAATGGCAAACAGGCAAAACATAGGAAGGAAGAAAAATGAGGGGTTTGAATGCTCCCCTAGACGAGGAATTATTAAAAAAAAGAAAAGAAACACAATAAGGAGATACTCATTTCTGATGCATTCATTTTCCATGGAGATGTTTAAAAATAAGCAACATCATTAAAACTATCAGAGTCCCCTCCTAGACACTTGAAATAGTAAAACAAGGATTCCATATCAGGTCCACATAATAATCATCATCCTTGCCCTTTGTAAGGCAGCTTACATACCACTGTGTACGGCAATGACAGGACGGTGATGCTGAGTGAACAGCCGGGGTGAAGTGTCTTGCGGAGATGGGCTGTTGAAGGGAGACTTGTCCATTTCTGTCTTTTTCACAGTTGGAGAGATGCCTGGAGAAGAGTTTGAGGAAAAGGCCTGTTACGATGTCATTGAAATGGTTGGTTGCTGGCATCATTATGTCCTCCAAACTAGTGTTTCACAACCTTGGCCACTTTAAGGTGGGGGGACTTCAACTTCCAGAATTCCATGGCCAGCATTGTTAGCTGAGGGATTCTGGGAGTTGAAGTCCACCCACCTTAAAATGGCCAAGGTTGAGAAACATAGCTCTAAACAAGGGGTTCCTAATCTTGGCAACTTTAAGACATGTGGATTTCAACTCCCAGAATTCCACAGCCAGCCATGGGTAGAGAATTCTGGGAACTGAAGTCCACACATCTTAAAGTTGCCAAGATTGGGAACCCCTGGTTCAGACTATATTTCTGTTCTTTCTATATAGCTTGGAACTATCCTTTAACTACAGCAACCATGTTTTTCAGAGACTTAACCAAGGGAAAAAAATCTTAGCTTTTCTAAGTCATTACTATTATTTACTGCAGTGCCCGGGACTTCCCAGCTATAAAAAGGGACCAGTTGTCCTTCATGAAACACAGTCCATGTATGTGACTTAGTTCTATCCAGCATGTATTGTTTTTCGTCACTTGGCATTATCCTTTCCCATGTCTGTGTAGCTCTCTCCTTATGGCTCATGGGTGCCGAGCCACTATGAGCCAGTATTACCAGATACTGTTTAAGATATACCTGTAGAAGTTTCTCTATTTTAATTTGTGACACATTGATGGAATGGAGTTTGCTCCTAGGTGATTGTTTGATGAATCCTACAAATGGGCTTCTAGTCTTTCCTATAAATATCAAACCCCCTCCCCCTCTTTGTACCTGTTCTTGTCTGTGACAGGATGCAGTTAATCTCCTCTGTATGCTGACTCAGATTTATCTGGGCCAGTTGGTTTTGTCCTTTCTCAGACTCTCATTTGGAAGGATTTTACAGAACATCCAGGTCAGGATTGAAATTAAACCTCTTCTTGCAAAGCATTTAAACATATTTCTACTTGGGGAAGGAATAGGTGGGCATATTCCCCCTTTTTAATTCTTTGTCTAAATGCAGGCAAAAAATAACCACAACAATATTGCAATGTTTATTGAATTGATCATTAAGCTAATCGATCAATTATTTTAAAAAAAATCCTTTTGAATGAGAAAAAATAAAATACTCTTAATTTTTTTTAAAAAAAATCCCCAATTTATAACATCTGCAAATGGATAGTTAGCATTTTTCTCAAACAGTATGGAACTACTGAAAAGCCAGATTTACTTAATGACTGCAGTGATTTGCTTAATAATGAGGGTAGAAAAGGCCCCAAAATTGGCGCAATTCACTTAATAGCTGCCTTGTTTAGAAATGGAAATTCATAAGTCGAGGACTACCTGTGGACAGCTTTCAAAAGCAGCCCTATGTGCGCAGCTCAGAGAAACATATGTAAGATGAACAGCTGTATGAATTTACCGAATAAATAAATAAAGATTAAAATACAGTGGGCAACACATTCCCAAACAATATTTAGGTGATGGAATGAGAAGAAAATTAATTTTCCTCACTCTTCAAAGGAACTTTACAAAATCATAATGTTCGTTGATTTGCTGACTAAGTATTTCCTAGCTGTTGTCTATCAATATAGTTGCTCTTCTGGCCTATCTCTATATTCGGTAGTTCAGACAGGTCTGCAACAATTACACCGCAGGGTTTGGTGCTCGCCGAGCTTGATTGTTTTCTTGCAGACGTTTCAGTACCCAAACTAGGTAATATATCATCAGTATGTTAATGATGTTACCTAGTTTGGGTAATGAAACAACTGCAAGAAAACAACCAAGCTCAGACAAGCACCAAGGACCTTCTTATTTCAACCCTGAGCTGCAAATATTATCTTTATGCATCAGAATTACACTCTTCACATGATTAATGAAAGCATCTGGGGACCTGGGATGCTGGTTCTGAAACTAGGAAAACAAGAAGCCGGCGAAAACGTTAAACATTCTGTGAAGTGTCTCAAAGGTCCTTTAAAAAAAAAAAAAAGGCAACTAGACCAGTGGTTCTCAACATTTGTGTGACAGCGACCCCCGTCACACAAATGTTATGCGCATGTGCGCCGCCGCGCGCATGGGGGCACCCCCCCATGCGCAGCGCGCATGCACGGCGCCCCCCATGCGCGGCGGCGCCCCCTGAGGAGAGAAAATGGCGGATCGCCGCCTTTGGCGACCCCCGAAAAATGGTCGATCGACCCCAAATGGGGTCACGGCCCATAGGTTGAGAACCGCTGAACTAGACCATAGGTCTCCAACCTTTCAGGCACCAGGGACCGGTTCTGTGGAGAGAGGTTTTTCCATGGACTGGAGGAGGTGTGGTTTTGTGTGTTGCCTGGATCCCACGGATGGGGTTTTGCTTGTTTGTGCAGACCGGTTGCTGGCATGCTGTGGCCCAGTACCGGTCCACAGACCAGGGGCTGAGAACCCCTGAACTAGACTGAACTAGAAGAAAAAAACGCTTCTTTTCCAAGATGGTGGTGGAAACATAGGAAGGACAGAACCTATTCTTCCATCCCCCCCACCATCCACTCACAACTGATGAACCTTCGTTGATGAGGTGAAATGTCTTCTTCTTCAAGGAAAAAAAATAGTCCAGGTGCCTTTTGAAAAAAAAAAAAAGCACCTTTGAGACAACTATGACTGGGATGACTAAGAATCTCCGTAGACATTTATCCTGCAAAGTACTTGAACCAGCATCTCCTGCACACTTACTCCCTTCCATGTCCTCCGTCCAGTTGCGGCTGCTACTTGTGGGGGAGCTAGGGGAGGCATAGTATTCGCCCCCAGGGCTGGTATCCAGATCATCCTCCATGGAGCCTGACTTATGCCGTTTACTCCTTGTAGGGAAAAAAAAGGAGAGATATGGTTTTAATAGCAGTTTAAATATAAGAATAACAACCTCGTCTAACCACATCATTGTCTAACTGCACAAGGGTCTTCAAACTTGGCCCTTTTATGACTTGCGGACTTCAACTCCCAGAATTCCTCAGCCATCATGCCTGGCTGAGGAATTCTGGGAGTTGAAGTCCGCAAGTCATAAAAGGGCCAGGTTTGAAGACCCCTGGTCTAACACCTCTGCAAAAGCAGCATAACTATTACAAGTTGACCTCAACTTATGGCCACAATCGAGTCCCAAATTTCTGTTGTTAAGCGAGACAGTTGTTAAGTGAGGTTTGTCCCATTTTTATGTCCTTTCGTGCCACAGTTCCTAAGTGAATCACTGCAGTTGATAAGTTAGTAATAGGGGTGTTAGGTGAATCTGGCTTCAACATTGATTTTGCTTGTCAGAAAGTTGCAAAAGGTGATCCCATGATAGCAATGGTAGTAAGTATGAACTAACTGCCAAGCCTCTGAATTTGGATCACATGACCATGGGGATGTTACAAAGGACGTAAGTGTGAAAAATGCTCATACGTCACTTTTTTCAGTGCCACTGTAACTTCGAACAGTCACTAAATGAACGCTGTAAGTCAAGGACTACCTGAAGCTAAATTTTGAAAGGAATTTCCTACTTTTTATATTTCATTGCTCTAGGTAATAATTCACTAAGTCCAAGAATTTAGGATTGCTCAGAGGAGCTTTACAGGGTGGAATATAATTCAAAAGAGAGGCAAATGCAGTAAGAAAATCAAGGCAAAGAGAACAAACTGCAATTATTCACTTAGCACACTCCTAACATTATAGTGGAAGGAAAAATAAAGAAGATAAGATGGAAGACGTTTCAAAGGATAGGTATTTTAGTAGAGAACCTGGGCACAGGAGGTAAAAGAGAAAAAGAACTGTTTTAAGAGATAGAACAGTGACATATTGGGATATATCAGTAGAGTAATAAAAAGAAAAAGATCATGGAGGGTTTCAGAGGCATCCAGAAGGTCAAGAATGTCAAGGTGGCAACTGTGATCATGTGACCAAAGTTCCCCATCCGGGTCTCTTCCCCACAGTTTGTAGGTAAGGATCAGGAGTTTGTATAGGGTCTGGGGGTGAGTTGCAAATCAGGGTAGGGAATGAAGGAATGGCATTACAGAAGTGTATTATCCCTCCTAGTTGAACACTGACTAATCTGTTGCAACAATAGCTTTCCCCCTGGCAAGCAGGTCTAGAATTTATAAGCTTCTACTTCTAGGATCCCTTCCTAGATGTGTTTTTGTCTTATGTTCTTTTTAAATGTTCTTGTCTAGTTTTGTTTTGTTTCTGTTATTTTTTTTTCTTTAGTATTTTGTATCTTAATCTTCGGAATAAAATAAAAATTGATTAAAGAAACAAATGGTAAGAGTGTTCTCAGCAGGTCATGGCTACTTAAGTGAAGAAAACTTTTCTCTAATTAAAAGGTGACACAGCATTCCTAAAGGCTGAGATGGTAGCATTTTTGGCTTAAATAGTACATCACAAGATGAACACCTTTATAATTTCAGTTTCTGACCCTAAGAGCACAGTAGAAGCCGTTGTTTCCGTGATAGAGAAAGAGCTGTCAAATATTCCACCTTCTGCTTTCTCAAGCAATTTGCATCCCAGATGTTTGAGACATATGGATGTGATGTGGTTGAATAAGTCAGGATCATGAGTCAGGTTGTTTAAGAAATGAGAAAGGAAGGAGAAAAAGTGAAGCACGAAAGCTACAGCCTTCTAGCTTGAAACCCTACCTTTTACCTCAGTTAGAAGAGAGACTGAATTAAATCAAAATCAGAATAACAGAGTTGGAAGGAACCTTGGAGGTCTTCTAGTCCAACCCCCTGCTCAAGCAAGAGATCCTATACCATTTCAAACAGATAGCTATCCAGTCTCTTCTTAAAAATCATACATTGTCTGCATATACAGGAAGTCCTCGACTTACAACAGTTCATTTAGTGACTGTTTGAAATTTCAGTGGCACTGAAAAAAGTGACTGATCACCATTTTTCATACTTACAAACATTGTAGCATTCCCTTGGTCGTGTGATCAAAATTCGGATGTTTGGCAATTGGCTCATATTTCTGATGGTTGCAAGGTCCCAGGGTCATGTGATCACCTTTTGGGACCTTCTGACAAACAGTCAATGGGGAAGCCAAATTCACTTAACAATTGTGTTACTAACTTAATAACTGCAGTGATTCATTTAACAACTGTGGCAGGCCACTTTAACTGACTGTGTTCAGCAGGTCAGGGGTTCAAATCTCACCTGCTCAAGGTTGACTCAGCCTTCCATCCTTCCGAGGTAGGTAAAATGAGGACCCAGATTATTGGGGGCAATATATATATATATATATATATATATACATTGCTTACTGGTGTACACCGCTTAGAGAGTGCTTGCACCTAAAGCAGTATATAAGTCTCATAAATAAATAAATAAATCTTGCTTAGCAACAGAAATTTTGGGCTCAATTGTGATCATAAGTCGTGGACTACCTGTAACTAGAAAATAATTTCTAGTTGCAAGAAATGGCTGGATAAAACCTTGAAGACCTGGATATGACCCAATTTTGTGTGACCTGACAACTTTCCAATTCCATCCGTTGCATCCTCAGTGAGGTAAAAGTTTTATAAACACACACACACACACACACACACACACACACACACACCTAGTGTAACACATACACACAAAGGGGAGGGGAGAGAGAGAGAGTGTGTGTGTTAGTTTAGACTTACCCACTGGAGGAAGTGCTGGGGAGCGTCCGCCTCATCCCTGTACTCGAGGGATTCAGGTCGTACGCTAAGTGCCCTTGCAACTCTCCCAAAGAGAAATTTGGACCTGTGCCTGTCACCACTGGTGCTGTGAATGACAGAGGGAGAAGAACCATCAATATTATAAAGGGATAATGAATGATTCATTAAACAATGATTCGGGATGGAATTCTCTGCTTCCATCAGTGGTGCTCTGTCAGAGATGTTTCCCAACTATGGCAACTTTAAGATTGGTGGACTCCAACTCCCAGAATTCCCTAGCCAACACAGCTGGCTGTGGAATTCTGGGAGTTGAAGTTCACACATCTTAAAGTGGTTGAGATTGAGAAACCCTGAATTAGACTGTTAGGTGGATGTGGGGATTCTGGGAGTTAAAGTCCATCCATCTTAAAGCTGTCAACGGAAACACTGGATTATGGAGTGAAGTGATGTGATATAGTAAAATAACTAGATGCTATCTATAAATATGCCCTATAAACACATGCCTACATATATATAATGTCACCCCTGCCCTTCTCTTTGTTAGACTACACATACCTAGTTCCTTCAATCGTTCATTGTATGATTTAGTCTCCAGATTCCTTATCACCTTTGTTGTGCTTCTCTGCACTCTTCCTAGGGTCTTAGCTTCTTTTTGTAACATGGTGACCAGAACTGGGTGCAGTTGTTCCAGGTTTGTGGCATATAGGAGCCCTTGACATGGGGACTGTTGCATTTTGAACCAACTGCGGTTTCTGAGTTTTCTTTAAGACAGCCCTATTTAGAGTGCATCACCATTGTCAAACTGGATGGTGGTGAGAACATGAATCACTGCATGAAATTCTCCTGCATCAAGAAGCACCATACTTGGTGCAACAACCACAGCTGGACAAAAACCTTCTAGCCATGGCCTTCTCCTGCCCATCCAGCAGTAACCATCAATCCAGGAAGGTTCAAGTCGTGAAATTATTCCCTCAGGAGCAATGTCATTCCTTCAGAGACAACACTAGAATTGGCAAAGAATGTGGTTCTGGAAACAGGAACTTTAGGAGATGATCAAGCTGAGTCCAAGGGAAGAGTCAGCCTGGAATCCCTACACCCTTGAAAGAAACCTACGTCCAGCCCCCTTGAAGTCCTTTAACTTTTATCTGGCACCAATTCTCATTGATATTGTAGATCAAATTCTTGTCCCCAAAGTGCTTTTTCCAAAAGGCAACTGGACATTCTTCGCCTTTTTCTTTGAAAACATTTTGCTTCTCATTCAAGAAGCTTCTTCAGTTCTAACAGTTAGAACTGAAGAAGCTTCTTAGATGAGAAGTGAACCGTTTTCAAAGAAAAAAACCAAGGAAGTTCAGTTGCCTTTTGGAAAAAGCACTTTGGGGACAGCCATGAACCTGGATGATTGAGAATCTCCATAGACATCAGATTCTTGTGTATAGTTTGCATGGAATACATTCACAGTACTTTTGAACTCTATCCTGGCTCCTGGTTTTGTGTGCCTGAAAGTAACTCCATCTTGCTTGGGTTCAGATTCAGCTTGTTTCCTCTTATCCAGAACCCAATAGTTTATTGACAAAATGTCAACAGTACAGCAAGCTTGAGCATCACCAGTACATTAATGGTAGCACTATCTGAATCAACAGATTATTTTTCCCAGTAGCTGGGAAATAGATATTAAAAGTAAAAATATATGTATAATTTTTAGTAGAAATTTGTTAATGTTTACAATGAGGAAAAAAATGGACTATATTAACAGTGGGAAAAATTAACAAATCTTACTTATACCTGCATTTCAGACAATGTAATATAATTGACAGAAGTAAGAATGAAATATGAAAAAAAAAACTTATGAGGATACAAGCTACTCACTCCGGGAAACTTGAATAAGTTCTGTGACACTGAATACACCTGACGTAACAAAATTCTCTTGGTAATCTGCTGCATCTGCAAAAGAGATTTTGGACATTCAGAAACTGCTACAATAATCAGGTTTTTTTCTGAATTGTTCAATGTTTTCAGTGTCAGGTTTTGACTTAGAGAAAGAAACTTATTATACTATAAATCAGGTAATTAGCATATAATCTTAAATATTCCAGACTGGATACTTTTTAAATAAACTCTTTTCTCCCATTTATCATTTATCCATTTTTTTAGACTAGAAAGAACAAGAGTCTATGAAAGCAGCCAGCCAATGAAGTTTGACTCTAAAATAATTTAACATTATATAATAGCCACTGGCTATGTCAGTTTTGGATGATGGAATAATAGTTTTAACAGCATCAGGTTGAAGAAGACCTTTATATAAAAACTACCAAACTGAAGTGGTTTTTACAAACTGGCTGTTAGTCCTCTTCTGAAACTCATTTTTGTTTGTACTGATGTCTGTATTTAACTGTGACATGATTGGCTCTATTGATAGGTTTCCTCATTTGTCTATCCATCTTAAAGTTGCCAAAGTTGAGAAACACAGATTTAGAGATTTGCTGACCGAGGCTGGTTGAGGATGTTCATTCCATGTTGTTCTCAAGGCTGTGATAAGAGTCTGATTTGGTTTGGAATAAACCAAGGTTTTTTTTTTACTAAATTGAAAAGGTGGGAAGAGACAGAACAGCACCCCAAACCAATCCTATTTCTAAGCCTGCCTTGAAGTGCTTCTCCATTACTAATTCATTTCCTGATTGGATCAACCCTTGAGAGAATCCATCCTTCCATCAGTCTGTTCCAGGGTACCATCCCACCTAATTCTTTCAGGGTTTGTATTGCAGGTCCAGGGAACCACAAACCGATGGCTTCAAACATTCACCAGCACCTTTCCTCTGTCCTTTTTTTTGCTGTTGCTCACCCAGCGTGATTATGGGTTTACTATCCTCCTGGTCAGAACCGATTCCCGTCCTGGGACTGCTGCTTTGATCTGAATCTGAAAAGAAAAGAATTGTGCGTTATATTTTACAGCTCTACACAACCGGGGCCTACAAACGTACATTTGTCTTCTTTTTGGTTTGGTTTGGTTTTTTTCAAAAGTTGATTACCACTACTGAGAAACTTAGAACAACATTCAAGGCTGGCTGACCAAGACACAATGTCAGAATTTCATTAGACAAAGAGAGGTGGCTTTTTCAGACAGCCACTAATTTTGGGAGGCAAGAACATGCATTCAAGAGCTAGTTTTAATATTATATTTTTGCTGTAAGGGAAAAAGATTTGTGTAAAGTTGGGGAGGGGTTGGGTCTCCTGCCTGATAACTCTCATATAGCTTGCGGGATTTTAATACTAGACACTTTGACTTAGAACACAGAACATAGAATCATAGGGCTGGATGGGATCTTGGAGGGCTTCTAGCCCAAGCTCCTGCACCCTTATACCATCCCAGTCAAATGGTTGTCCAGTTTATTTTTGAAAATCTCTAGTGATAGAGTACCCATAACTCTAGGAGGCAAGCTGTTCCATTGATTCATTGTTCTCCCTGTCAGAAAATTTCTCCTAGACTGGATCTCTCTTTGACCTGCTTCTACCCGTTACTTCTTGTCCTGCCCTCTAGTGCTTTGGGGTCAAGCCCTTCTTCTCTGGGTAAGCCCCTTTTGGGTGATGGCGAAGGAAGGTCACTGGCTGGGTCACCCCAGGCCACTATGCACTCCTCTTGGTAGCAACCTTTGCTAAGACCCTCGGTCTTCCTTCATCAAGGTAAAGATGAACAGAGGCCGACCACAAGTCCAGGCCCTACTAGGTTGCTACAGCAACCGCCAAACATTAATGGGTGCTTGCAGTAATGTAATTTTTGCAGTAATGGCTGCCCTCCTCCCCATAATCAGCCCTCCCTTGACAACACTCACTTTGCAGCCCGGGTGGGTGATTAACGAGCCGCCAATGCAGATGAAGCGTCTCCCTCCTCAGCCTCCCTTCTCTTCCCTTTACTGGACTCTCAGCCACCGCAGGCAACACCTGACCTCAGAACTCTGTTGGCGCCACTAATGCCAGGCATGTGATGCCACTGCGGATCCTAAACCCGTGCTGTCTATTTAAGCATGATGAAATAAACATTGCCCATTGATGCAATCCTCCCCCCCCCCATAAAGATGGGAAATACATGGGACTGTCTTAAGCTTCATTAGCTCTTTGTCCTGCAGGATTGAGTAGAGATTGAGTTGTGTCTCAAAGAAATTTGGTACAGGGCAGCAATAAAGTTTCTGATTCTGCTTTCAAGAGTTAACAATATCCAAGAATCCTTTCCTAGAGAAATCAAGTTCCTGAAAAGGAAGGAGCTTGATGGAAGGAGAGAGGCAGCAGAAAATAATTTTTGTGTAAAGGAATTTGTGTGGGCTCTTTGGTTCTGATCGTGCTCAGAGACTCTTTTTCTTAATGCTCAAATCATGGGCTATTCCACAGGGCACTTTGGGGCAATTCCTGGACTGGTGCCACCTTCCACTATCCCTGGCGTCACCCTTCAGCAGCTGAGTTGATTTTCGTAGGGGCTTCACAGGCTGAAATCTCAAATTGCAGGACTTCTGAAATCTGATGTGCTGAATTCCATGGAGTTGGTGGAAACTCCCTCTTGGAACCGCCTCCCTAGTTCCATAGCTTTTTTTCCTACTCTCAAGCTGCAATGCTTCCAAAATGCCATAAAATTCTCATAACTGCACTCCAGGGATTTTGGAGTGGTTTCTCCCCCTTCCCTTCCCACAAGGGCCCCTCTCCAAAATCTCATGGATGGTGAAAAAATGATAAGAGATGATGGAGTTGGCCATTTTTTAGCACACTTCTACGTGTGGCTAAAGGGACAGCAAGTTGTAACTGGCCATAGTTGTAAGGACTGTGGTGAGTACGATTGGAAGCTGTTGAGAGAATAAATGCAGGGTTTTCAGGGTGATGAGAGTGGCTGTGTAAAAATGTCCATACAGGTAGTCCTTGACTTATGACCACAGTTGAGGCCAAAATATCCATTGCTAAGCAGTTGTTAATTGAGTTTTGTCCTATTTTATGACCTTTTTTGCAACAGTTAAGGATATCACCGCAATTTTTTGGTAAATCATGTGGTCGTTAAGCAAATCTGGATTCCCCCTTGACTTTGCTTGTCAGAAACCAGCTGGGAAGGTTGCAAATGGTGATCTCATGATCACAGAATACTGCAACTGTCATAAATACATACCAATACCAAGTGGACGAATTTTGATCATGTAACCATGGGGATGCCACCAAGATTGTAAGTGTGAAAGATGGTCATAAATCTCTTTTTTCAATGCTGTTGTATGGTCACTAAACAAATGGTTGTAAATCAAGAACTACCTGTAATCTGCTATCTGAGCCATTGTTTTGCAGCAAGATCTAGGTGTAGATCAGAAGACTATAGTAAAGAATAAAACAGAGCTTCTTGTAAGTTTGAAACTTGCAGATTACTCAGATGGTAGAAACTGAATAATATGCTGGCTGGGGAATTCTGGGAGTTGAAGTCCACACATCTTAAAGTCACCAAGGTTGGGAAACCCGTCTTACGCCATCATTTAAAAAAAAAAACCCTGCATGCAGTCTTCTGAATGAAAAGCATAAATTCTCCTCCTAATGCAGCAGCATTCGCACTGCATCATTCTTGCATAGGCCCTGCTCTTACTATATCTAACGAATTCCCTTCTCAAAGGAAATGCACTGTGCACACGGTCAGGTGCCCTTTTTGCTCTGCAAAACAACTTCATTTAAACAGAGGGGAGAAATGCTGATGCTCAGGGTGGGACCATCAAAAGGTGTGACCCTTTTTCAAAACCATCCAGAAATTGGCAGGCTTAGATGAGGGGAGGTGATTAGATAACTCTGGAAGTTCCTTTGAATGTGACCAGTTCTGAACCAAAGGCAAGGAGTGAACCTCTGGACTTGAGGAAGGAGCCAGAGGGACTCGTGCAGGCAGCAAGAGTGAAGGCCACTGAAACAAAACCTTCCTCTTCCACCCTTTCCACTTCCCGCTTTCCTTTCCTCATCAGAAATACAACTCACGCTTCACATGGGCTACATCCCAGAACTCCTCTCTCTCTCTCTCTGCTTTTCATCTTATCTAAAAATAATCAAGCTCTTTGGGCAGTCAGTGCAGACGCTGAGGTCAGCACTATAGGTTCCTACTAGCATCCTGGATTAGCCAACCCACCACCTCCTCCTTCCAATCGAGTCTCTTTTTACTTTCTCCCCATTGCATGAATACACACACACACACACACACACACACACACACACACACACACACACACACACACACACACACACACACCTCTTTCTTATGCAGCAACCCTTGGCTAGAATCCACACGTCCCTGAATATCCTTGATGCAGCCAGGAACATTTTAAAGTGTCTTTTTATTATTCTATCCCCCTCCCCAAAATGTTTGTGTGTGTGTGTGTGTGTGTGTGTGTGTGTGTGTGTATTCAAAAGTGAGAGAGATGCCTGAGCTGCTCCAGTTCACCAGACCCAGCCAATTTCCCCTAGATTCTAGTATTTCTTTTATTCCTATCATTATTCTTATGATCTACATACAGTATAATAACAGCAAAGTCATTCTACCTGCATAGGTAGTCCTCGACTTACAGCCACAATTGAGCCCCAAATTTTTGTTGCTAAGCAAAGAGAGTTGTTAAGTGAATTTTGCTCCATTTTACGACTTACTTTTCACAGTTGTTAAGTGAATAATTGAAGTTGTTGTTAAGCTAGTAACACGGTTGTTAAGTGAATTTGGCTTCCCCAACATCTTTGCTTGTCAGAAGACTGAAAAAGGTTAGGGTGACCCCAGGACACTGCAACCATCATAAATAAGACCCAGTTGCCCAGTGTCTGAATTTTGATTGTGTGACCATGGGAATGCTGTAATGGTCGTAAGTGTGAAAAACAGTCATAAGTCACTTCAGAATGGTCACTTAACCAAATGTGTTATAAGTCGAGGACTACCTGTACAGACTTGTACATTTGCCAAATAGAGCACCAGGAGGAATATCACAATTCAGTTGTGAAGGGTGGGGGAAGGAGAAGGTGCACCACTCAGAGTAAGAGATAAGTATGCATAATAGCCACAGAATCATACCAATATGTTACATGAAATGTGTGGATAAAAATATAGCTAGTCACAAAGGGATAAGAAAGGTTCCTCTCCTTTTCTTAAACAAGCAAGGCTACCTAAAGCCTTTTTTGATATGAAAGAAGACTGGGAATTAAGGGACTATTGGCGGGAACGTAATCAAGAGGAGAGAGACTTTACTTTTTTTTCTGACAGACACCAATCTTTTTCAAGAATTGACTTTTTCTTGATTACCACGGATTTGTATAATAAAGTAAAGAATGTAAAGATTTTTCCTAGATCACTGACGGATCATAGTCCAGTTTGGATGGAGTTGATTCAAGAGAAAGAGGAAAGAAGATCCTGGAGAGTTAATGAAAATTTGTTTAGACAAGAGAAGAATGTTCAAAAACTAAAGGAGTGTTTAAAGGACTATTTTGCTTTGAATATGTACAAGGGGACTTCAATGTCAATGGTATGGGATGCAGGTAAAGCATTTATGCGCGGTGTTTTGATAAAAATGAATAATTTTTATAAGCGAAATCAGATTCAGAAACGTAGAGAACTTGAAGATGAAATTAAACTAAAAGAAAGGGCTTTGATTCTAAATCCTTCTGATGAAAGTACTAAAGAATCTGTAAAGTTATTAAGGTCACAATTTAATATGTTGATAGCAGATCAAGCTGCAACCAATTTATTATTTATGAAACAAAATACATTTTGTAATGCTAATAAGCCGGGGAGATGGTTGGCTTATCAATTAAGAAAGAAACAGAGACTGAGAATAATAGAGAAAATAAATTATAAGGGTAAACTAGTTTCTCAGAAGGAATTAATTAAAAAATCTTTTTTGGATTATTATCAAAACCTATACAAATCTACTAATGTACAAC